TGTGTGTGTGTGTCTGAAGACAATTCGGGCGATAGAAGCAGAAGCGGTACGACACTGAAGCGCTGAAGCGATGCATTGTGCTCTGTGCTTCGCACATCAGTATCTGGGCCACTTCGTGAATTGGCAATGTCGATTTGTGTCTATCCATGTCGATCATATTCGTTGCGGGAAACAAAAACATAAGAAAAATAAACATGATCGAATATTAGCAGGCGGGATAGGTCGGCCAATCCAGGAAAAAAAAAAAAGACGAAGTAAAAAAAACAACATCCGAAATAATTGCTTCGAACTTCGAATTGGAGACGTCACGATAACATAACGACCGACCTGGGGAAAAAAAAAAAAAAAACATTGCAAGTTGGCAAATTCGGAATGAATCCGATGTTCTCTAAAGACAGAAATCCGATTTTATGGTGAAAAACAAAAAATTCGTCGAACTTTAACAGTTACGACGGAAATCGTGACAATTGTTTTTTAGGTTATCCTGGTCGAACACATGGTCCGGGTTGAAAACAAATAAAAATACAAAAATTGAACACCGAATGATATAGAAATAATGACTGGTTACTTGGTTCGTTGATTGATTGAATGATTGGTTGATAGATAGATTGATTGATTTATTGATTTACTTATTTATTGATTTATTGATTTATTGATTAATTGATTGGTTTATTGATTGATTGATTGATTGATTGATTGATTGATTGATTGATTGATTGATTGGTTGATTAATTGATTGATTGATTGACTGATTGCAATGAACCCGACAGTTCCCGAATTGTTGGAATGTCCTAGTAAACATGCATGTCACGCACCCACGCCAGTCAATCAGTCAATCAATCAATCAATCAATCAATCAATCAATCAATCCATTCAATCAAACACACATACACGCACACACGCACACACACACACACACACACACACACACACACACACACTCACACACACACACACACACACACACTCTCTCTCTCTCTCTCTCTCTCTCTCTCTCTCTCTCTCTCTCTCTCTCTCTCTCTCTCTCTCTCTCTCTCTCTCTTGTGAACAGCGCAAGGCGCCCTATCTACTCTACAGCGTAAACCTAGAACTACAGTAATGACAGCAACCACACAACTTGACTACCAGCGAGTGATGATGTGAACACCAATGCCGACTTCTACCTCCACCAGGAACGTGTCCTCTTCACCAACACTCTCCATTGTTACCCACAGACATGGCCTTCACCTCCGATGAACCACCTTCGCCCT